ATTTCTAGCTGCACTCTGGGGAATGGGGGTATTCCCGGTACTGATTTGTGCATAAGCATCTAACTTCCACCTGCCCCTCGCTGCTGCTACAAGATGACTCATAGCTCCACTGCTCTAAACGGCCCAACAGTTTACGCTCTACTCGAAAGTGTTCATCAGTTTTCATTGCTGGTTTCACAACTGGTAACTGTAAATCCCTCTTTGATGTTTTTAATCTACCCCCGAGGGAGTGAGCTGACAAAAGCATAAGGCAGGATTAAACGTTTCTGCTCTTCCACCACAGCGTCTACCATCAGGGACCAGGGCTGCCCACGGTGGGCTCCTCCTACCTCTCCCTGCCGTGCGGCATTTTCCCATTCCTCTGCCTGGAAGATCTTCATCTCCCCTGCGCCTTCCCAGCTCCCCCAAGGGCAGTCCTTCACACCTCATCATCGCCCAGAAGCATCCCCAGGTGGATGTCTCCACCTCGCCCCTGCAGCCTCGTGGCCTCCAAGTCTCCCACTCTCCTACTTCACCTTCTAATCTGCTACAACAGCTAGACCCTGGGCCTGAGGCCACCCAACTGGCTCTGGCTACCCATCCACACCAGCAACGACTCCACCTGCTGTGCCAGGAGCCCCCGCCCCTGCCTGACCCTCCCTGCTTTCACCCCATGCAACCACCCGTCTGCCTCCTCTCTCATCCTCAGCTCTGAGTGCCCGAGAGCACGCACAGCTACGGGTTGGTTCTGCTGCAAATCTTCAGTGCGGGGTCTAGCAGGGCCCTCACCCCTGCTCAGCAATCCTCCCTTCCATGTCCCTCCCACTGCCTCCATCCTCCTCTGTCCATTCACAAGACACAATACTTTCCCATTTTAGAGTCCATTAGGCATTAATTTGCCACCTTCCTTCCCACCTACCTCAAAGATTTCTGTGCTTGCGCCCATTGTCACCTCCACCCCTGCCTCGCAGGAAGGGTGGCTCCCCACCTTGCACAGCTTACACATCCACCCATCCTCCAGGTCACACCACCTTCCACCTGCTCAGGGCCTGGCTCCTGTGCCCCACTCTGTCCTCCACCTTCACCCTCTTCCCCTCCACTGGGACTTCACCCTCAGGAGAGAGGTGTGCTCAGGCCCCTCCTGTTCAGCAGTGACCACGTCTTTGCCCTGAACCCCTCAAGCTGCAACCTCACATCTCCTGCATCACCCCACTCTCCCCCCTCACAGCTACGTGGTCCCTATACTCCAATGCCTGCTTTCTCACCCCCCACTCAAGCCCGCCCACAGGACCTGGCTTCCATCTCAAAGAGCCCGTGGCCACCTGCTAAGTGCAGTCAGAGAGGACGTTCTAGGTCTCATCTCGCCGGCCTCAGCCATGGCGTTCCCTGGAAGCGGATCTGGCCCAGGCTTCCAGGCTGTGCCCTCCCGGGCCCCTCTGCCACCCCAGGTGCCCACCACCACACCCTGCCTCCGCTCCGGAGTCTGCAGCTCCTCTGCACACTCCTCCGTGGCTTCCCTTTCTCCCACTCCAAAGTCTACTCCCAAGAACTCCACCCCCAGCTGGTTCCCAGATCCAGGACAGGGAACAGGCAGAGTGCCAGGAGTCCATGTCACAGAAAACAAGGCAAAAAGAATTCAAAAAAAATCACATCTGGGCAAAGGCAGGATCAAGTGCCAAGTGGTCAGACAAGGCACCAACGGGCAGGGCCACATAGAGGTGGAAACCCGGTCCAGCATCAGGACCACGAGAGCGCGAACCCGAGGCCGAAGAGCTGCTGAGGAAAACAAAGCTCCCCTTATAGGATACCCAAAGCCTTGCCTGTGGGCAGAATAGGGGCATAAAAGCAACTGATCAGAGAAGGGTTCTTGTCTTTGTTTTAAATGACTTGACGTTTCTGCCTTCTTGTGAAAAATCTGACCACAACGGCCCCACATTCTCACAAGATGACCAGCGGCTAAGGCACCCAACCTGGCTTCTCCATGGGACCTCATCCACACACACAGCTCCACCAGCCACCGAGTTAACACATCCCTAGTCTAAAAGTCCGGCTTCCAGCTCCATTTGCAGCCCAGGACTCGGGGGTCCCACAGGCATGCGTTAGTTGATTCTTCAACTTGCTGTCAACACCCAAACCTGCTCCTCTGCAGGGCTCCTCACCTCAGAAAAGGACCCTCATTGGTGCAGTCGCTCTGGTATAATATTGGAGGAATACTAACTCTTCCAATCTATGAACATGGATGTCTTCCCATTTATTTGTGTCTTTTTCAAGTTCTTGCATCAGTGTTTCATAGTTTTCAGTGTAGAGAGCTTTCACTTGCTTGGTTAAATTTATTCCTAAGTATTTTACTCTTTTTGGTGTTTTGGTAAATGGGATTGTTCTCCTCATTTCTTTTCCAGACAGCTCATTGGGATTATGTGGGAACACAACTGATTTCTGTATGTTGGTTTAGTATCCTGCAACATTACTGAATTCTTTTATTCTAACAGTTTTTTGGTGCAGTCTCGGGTTTTCTATATATAAAATCATATCATCTGCAAACAGATTATTTGACTTCTTCCTTTCCAATGTGGATACCTTTTGTTTCTTTTTCTTGTCTGATTCCCCTTGCTGGGACTTCCAGCCTTATGCTGAATGTAAGTGGAACAAGCGGGCACATTTACCTTGTTCCTAATCTTAGAGGAAAAGCTTTCAGCTTTTTACCATTGAGTGTGATGTTAGCTGCAGGCTTATTTGGCTTTTATTATGTTGAGATACATTCTTTCTATACTAATGGCTGAGAGCTTTGATGGTGACAGGATGTTGAATTTTGTCCAGTGCCTTTTCTGCATCTATTGAGATGATCGTATGATTTCTTTCATTCTGTTAATAAAATGTAAAGTTAGGAGGTGTAAAGTTAGGTTGTTTGAGATCTTTCTTTTTCCTTAATATAAGGATTTTTTTTTTTGAGACAGTTTTGCTGGCTGGAGTGCAATGGTGCAATCTTGGCTCACTGCAACCTCCACCTCCCCAGTTCAAGTGAGTCTCCTGCATCAGCCTCCCGAGCAGCTGGGATTTCAGGCAACCACCACCACACTCAGCTAATTTTTTGTATTTTTAATAGAGACAGGTTTCACCATGTTGGCCAGGCTGGTCTTGAACTCCTGACCTCAGGTGATCCACCTACCTCAGCCTCCCAAAGTGCTGGGATTATAGGCATGAGCCACCATGCCTGGCCATTATGCACATTTTTCATTATAAAATTCACCTTAGAACTGTTCTTGCTGACTCCCATAAATTCTAGTATGTATTTCCATTTTTGTTGATCTCAAGATACTTTATTTCCCTTTTGATTTCTTCCTTGACCCAATGGTTGTTCAGGAGCGCACTGTGAAATTTCCACATATTTGTGAATTTTCCAATTTTCCTCCTATTACTGATTTCTAGTTTTGTATCATTATGGTCAGAAAAAATACTCGATACAATTTCAGTCTCACATTTGCTAAGACTTGGTTTGTGGCCTAATGGAGAAAGCTGTGTACACGAGAAGAATGTGTACTCTGCTGCTGGTGGCCAGAATGTTCAGAAGTCTATTAAGCCCATTGGGTTTCTATTGTTATTCAAGTCCACGGTTTCCTTATTGACTTTCTGTCTGGATGATGTATTTGTTGTTGAAAGTGGGGTACTGAAGTCGTCCCCTATGATTGTATTGCTGTCTACCTCTCCCTTCAGTTCTGGTAATACTGGCATATTATGTATTTAGGTGCTCCAGTGATGGTTGCATATATAATTGTTGTATACTCTTGATGGACTGACCCTTTTAACAATGCAGCGACCTTCTTTATCTCTTGCTGGTTTTTCACGTGAGGTCTGTTCTGTCTGATGTAAGTTCAGCTGCCCCTGTTCTCTTCTGGTTTCCACTTGCATGGGATATTTTTGCCATCCCTTCGCTTTCAGCCTGAATGTGGTTAAAGCTCAAGGCCAACTCAGTGATCTTCACGGCCACCTGGCTCAGCGCCCATCTCTCACCTCCCACCCTCAGTCCATCATCATGACAACCGCTGTGAGCTTTCCTTCACGCCAGTGGGACTCATGGGCTGCAAGACAGCAAGCCCCTTGCCTGGTCTGTAAGATACTCATGGGACCTGCCGCTTCTCTCACAGCAGTGCTGAATTTCCTATGATGACAGTGGCGTGCTTCCTCAACATGCTCTGCCTGTTTGTGCCTCATCGACTCTCACAATCATAATCACAAACCCCAATTCATGCTTACTATGCATCGAGTGTTACGCTAAGCACTGTACATACATTAGGACCCTTGGAAGTAGGTATTATTATTACTTCCAGTTTTCCAGATGACAAAATATGCATCGAGAGGTTGGAAATGACCCGGAGACAACAAAGACACGGACGGTGGAGAGATTTTCCTCCACGTCGGACCCCCAAGCCCATGCAAGAAGCCATTACACACACCAGCTCCTTCCCACATGCCCTTCTGTCCCATGGAATTCAGTTCCCTCTATCTCTGCCAAGACTCAATTCAAACACCAGCTACCACAGGCCTGGCTCCGCCAGACCAACTGCAGCTCCTCTGCATGCTCCTCCGTGGCTTCCCTTTCTCCCACCCCAAACTCTACTCCCGAGAACTCCACCCCCAGCTAGTTCCCAGATCTAGGACATGTCACAGGCAGAGGGCCAGGAGTCCATGTCACAGAACACGAACAACTGCAGCATTCTAGCAACTTGAATGGTTGGCCCAATCAGCAGAGGTTTCAAGGGAGCAAGACTCTTTTCGCAAGGCTGTATTCTCTACCCCTACCACATGGCAGATGTTCCATGGTTTGTTGAATGAATAAATTAATGAGACAGGTTAAAAGTAAGTATGGTACCAAGATTGAGAGAATACCATCTGCTTGAAGAATTAAAATTAAGAGTTTGTGGTGAATCATTTTAGACCTTGCTGGTCCGGTCAGAAAACTCTTATAGAAGAGAAGAAACACAAGCTGCCACCCACGGCCGCCCTGCAGGTGAGAGTGTCCTTACTTCCGGACGCCTCCTAGAGGGAAGACTTTTTCTCCAATCATGGCCAGCACGATGTCCCAATCAGACAGACTAAATTTGGGTATAATAATTTTTGCAGGTGGAATAAATAATCTTCCATTTGTAAAAACACTGTAAGCATAAAAAGAAAAGCATCCATTAATACGTTATGTTTAAGGGGGAAACGTTGAATACTCAAAGTATATATATACATATATATAATAAATCCATATATATAAATATAAATAAATATATATATACACACACAGAGGATTCACTAAGCAGCCTCCAATACTGCATATCTTACCCTATAGAGGACCTTATCAAGCCGCACAGAATGTCAAGAGCCTGGTGACGTAGAGGTATATATATACACATATATTATGGTTTTGTTGTAGACAAAAACCACAACAGTGGGCTACAGAAAGAGCATGAGTGAAGGTGCCTTAAGGTTAATAGTGGTTGTGAAACAGGAAAAGTTCCCTTGTCCCCCTCAGAGTACGTGCGATGGGGGTGTGGCTCAATTCTTCAGTGCCCCGCTGCTCAAACCTCCAGGAGCGCATACAGACGGGCAGGCTGTGAGGCCCCAGCCCCACAGTTATGACATTCTGTGCAGCTTGATAAAATCTGGGCATTTCATAAAGCCTAAAATGCCCAGATGAACAGGACATGACTCCACTGTTTAAAAACACGTCTTCCACGACTGTGATGGGTAAAATGAAAGAAAATTGTGTCCATTTGGAAAACAGGCAGATAATTTCACCTTAAAGAATGTAGCTGTTTTCCCTTTCCCTGGAGCCAAGATCATCTCCCAAAGAAAATTATATGCATTCCTTTGAAAAAGTAACAGAAACGACTTATTTCACTCCTGAGTTTTAGGGCAGCTTCGATGTGATCTTGTCGGGGGCAGGGGGGTTGTTTATTATTTCTATGTGTTGAGGGAAAGGAAATACTTAGAAGATTTTTGAAACCCAATACCAAGTTAGAAGTGTTCATGAGACTAGGCCGTAATCAGACACTTGCAATAGTTTCAAAGTCTTGTAATTCACATTAAAATAACATAAAATACAAGGTGTATTTGTTTAAGTCTAAAAATAATAAATGTTATCATTGATATCTTTTAACAATACAGAAGCTCAACTTTGCAATTCTGGTTGCTAATTTTTTTACATTATAATTTACTGTTACTGCCATTTTGTCTTTTTCCTTAAATTCAAATAACTTAGAATTTGAGAAATACCTCACTTTAAGGTAAATATAAATATTAATTTAATATGTTTGTCACAGTACAGAGAATCCATTTTCTCTGCTAAGGTTTTGTGGCAAAACAGACTTCCAATCCATCCAGAGTCCAACTTCTTCCACAGTTAAGATGCCACCCACAAGAAGTCATAAACAGAAATGTTCTCTGAAAGTTACAGCATCGCTTATCAGCATGCTATTACAATCACAATAAAGGTTTGCTACAATGTTTTCAACTATTGGTTGTCTTACTTGGTTTAGGCTGAAGCTTTTTCTAAATATAGATTACTGACAGGAATAAAAGTAGTAAATGTTTAAACAAGGTCTTGTTATATTTTTGTCTCAATTTTTAAGAAATTTAATGTATAGTCCTATCCTGAGTATTGAGACAGAGGCATACCAACCCACTGCGGATGTAGTTGGAAATCCGCACAGTCTTCTTGAGGGACACTTTGGCAAAATAGGTCAATGATATAAGGGATCGATAATCACTGGCCCAGTCATCCCACACCACGAAATTCACCCCACAGAAAAGTGGACAAAGACTTATAGGTGATTATATTTCTCATGGAATTATGTATGAAGCCAAAAATATAAAATGTCTAAGTATAGATGACTGGTTAAATAAATGATGTCACGGTCACACCATAAAGTATACAGACATTAAAAATTATTTATGCAGAATTTATACCTACAGGGGGAAAAGGGTCAAATACAATTAATGTTGTAGACAAAACCCACAACAGCGGGCTACAGAAAGAGCATGAGGAGTGAAGGTGCCTTAAGGTTAATAGTGGTTGTGAAACAGGAAAAGTTCCCTTGTCCCCATCACAGGGCATGCGAGGGGCATGTGGCTCGCTTCTTCAGTGCCCCGCTGCTCAACCTCTAGGGAGGCATACAGACGGGCAGGTTGTGGGGCCCGACCCCACAGCAGTGTATAGGCATACATGTTTACAGCTCCTGAAGCCCTAGTGGGTGTGTGTCGCAGGGTGCTCTTTTCGTTTAGCCGTCCGTAGGTGGCTTGGGTTAATCTGCTCAATTAGACCCCTCCCTTCTCGAAAGGACAGAGGAAGGGATCCTCTCCTGAATCAGGGTGTTAGGATCCACTGTGGCCCCAGGGACCCCTTTCCTCTTGTCTATGTTCCCTGACACTGTGTCCGACTTCCCTAAGCTCTCTGCTTCCCTCCATCGGGCACCCTTTTAGCCAAGGGCACCGTCAGCTGTTAGGCAGGACTCCTCCTTCTTTGTGGATCACAAACTCCACAAATGTAAGATGTATTTGGATGCAGAACCCTGAAAGATAGAAATAGAGCCTTCCATGCCACTCCCCAAGATTCCCCAAAATCATTTAAAACCAGAGGGACTTGAAAGGTACTGCCCCATATTTCTAGTCCATGCCACACTCCCATTCCAGCCTCTAAAAAGCCAAATGGAAAAATGTCCACTGATCTAAGATCTGAGACTGATCAAAACATTGTCAAACCGAGGTTTTTCTTGGTGCCTGACACTAACACCATCCTGGCTGTGATCACTTCTGACACGCAGCATTTCACGGTCATCAATGCGTGCCCTGCCTTTTTTAGAATTCCCTGTCACGAAAATTCCTCGTGCTTGTTACCTTCTCCTGGGAAGATGAACCATATTCCTGGACCATTGTGCCCCAAGGATTTACTGAGGCCCCTACCTACTTCTTACACACCCTAAGTGCAAATCTGAAGGAGGTAAAATTCCCAGGAAATGGCTGTAATCCAATTTGTGGATGGTCTCCTCCTGTGTTCTGAAACTCACAACAGCTCCCTTCTGTGCACTGAATTCCTCCTTAGGGCATTTGCAAAACGGGCCACGGAGTGGCTGGACACCAAGTTCAATTATCCTCTCTGTGTGTCTGATATCTGGGCTATGATATCTTAGTCACACACACACACACAAAAGACCAAGTTTCTAATCCTCAACATTTTCCTTACCTGGAAGCAAAAGGACAATTGGGGGCTGGGGCGGGGGGTCTTATGGGATGCTGGAGGATGTGGACACCCAGTTCCTCTCCGACTGCCTCCTCTTTTTAGGCCACGACGAGGGAGTCAACCCTGGACCCAGCAGTAAGGAATCCCCCATCTAAAGACATTTTTCGAGAACCTGAAGGGCTCTCTAGTTTCACCCCACCTCGAACTTCCCAATTACTCCCTGCCTTTGTCCTTCTTTGTTAATGAAGGAGAGGATCATGTCGTGGAGTCTCATCCCCAACACATGAAAAGCTGGGTTGTGAGCGCTTCCATCGAGCTCAGGAGTTGAGGCAAATCCCCCACAATGAGCCAGGGCTGCAATCACCAGTCTCGTTCCGGCTGTGTCTCACTTGCAACTGGGTCACCTATTGGACACACGCATTCCTCATCCCATTCAGACCTTACGGACCCTGCTGCTTAATGGGAATACAGCATTTCTCTGTGGCCAAAATTCCCTCTTATGAAACCTACTGCTTTCCTCCCTCACATAACCATACTATACCATCAAAGCCTTAATCCTGCCCTTGCATCCATTAATCATGGACGGGACACCCATGTCACTAACATCAGATGATCATCTCATCCTAGATTAGATTCATCAGAAACCCCTCTGCCCTAAGCAGATCTCACGCTTTATGGCTCCTATCTCTGGAGGGAGGATGAACTGTTCCCAGCTGGATATCCCATCACTGATCAGCACACACCTCTTGGCTATTGAGTCCTGCCGTGTGTTAAATCAGCCAAGGAGGCTGAATGAATCACTCTCACTCGGGCTTGCATGAAGACGGAAGGAACGAAGGTGAAACATCTACGCTGCCAGCCGCCATGCCTTTGGGGCAGTATGTGATGTGGGTGCTACGGAAACGGGGGATTGACGACAGCAGCCAGTACCTGAGTCAAACAGCAGAACTTCTGGAAGCGCTGTTATTACCGCAGCAAACTGCTGTTATTAAAACGGAGGGATACAGTACAAAGAAATCAGATGAGACTTGGGGAAATAAACGGGCTAATAAATAAGCCAAACTGGGACCGCTTCCCCACCGCTTGGGAAACCCACAGGGTCTCCTGGCCTTGAGCCCATACCGCTGGCTCGCCCTTCAAGGCCCCGGACCCCTGGAGGGGTTATTCGTCCTCTGCTACAGTCTGAATTCTGTGTCCCCTCACCCTCCAGTTCACGTTGAAACCAAATCCACAACGCAAAAGCATTCAGAGGGGAGGCCTTTGAAAGGAGGCTCAGTCATGAAGGGCTTAGGTTCATGACTGGGGTGAGTGCCTTATACAAGAGGCCCCAGAGAGCTCGCCTGCCCCCTCTATCAGGGGGACACAGCAAGAAGGCACCTCTGTGCAGCAGGGAGCATCCCTTGCCAGACGCCAAACCCGCTGGCACCTCCATCTCAGCCTCCAGAACTGTGCGCCCAACACTTCTGTTGTTTATAAACTACCCAGTCCCAAGTGTTTTGTTATGCCAACCTAAGCAGACCCCTCCCGTGAAGGAAACAACTTCTTCAAGATGCCTCCCAAGGAAATAACACAGGAGCTCCACATGCCCCACCCAAGCCTATCGCCAGAGTCACTGTACATGGCTTATACCTGACTCAGCCCAGAAAGGTCCAAATGCAGCCTGTACCGGACAAACAATGGCTTGAACCCCTTAGCTTTTATCTGGACCAAGCAGCTGCCCCTCACATCATCTGCCGGAAACATGGCCCTGGGAAAATTCTAAACATGGGCTGAGGAAGCGAAACAGCTTTCCCTGGCCCCCTCCTTCACTGACAAGCAGACTTTATCCAATTACCAGAGTCCCAGTAGCCAATACGTCCCCAGTATGTCTCCACACTGATCTGCATGTTTTCTAAATGGTTAGAGGTTTTTCCACTGCCAAAATGCCTCCACGATGTCAGTTGCCAACATTTTCCTGGAAGTAATCTATCCCACTTGGGGTATCCCCTCTATAATTTCTAATGAAAGATCACATATTACTAGCAAAATTATACAAGCAACTAAAAATATAACACATTAGTCGAAGACTCCACTGCCCTTACAGCCTCAGTCATCAGGCCCCTTAGGAAGAGCCCATGGTGTCCAAAGTCCAAGCTGGCTGAGCTGGCTGAGGAACAGGGCTTTCTATGGGTGTCACCCATCCTTCTTTTGACTCCCAGATCCTCACCCTATCCTCCTCAGACACGGTCTCCCTTTGAAACCATTACAGGAAGACCATGAGAATGCCCCACACCTACTAGCTAACAAGGGATTTCAATTTAACGCAGTCTGACATCCTCAGACACTGTTGGGAGTTAACTAAATACACACAGTCCTACAATCAAGGCCACCTTTCCTCTCAAACTCCTTCATCAGCCTTTATACAATTTGCAGGTATGAGATCTGGTATTTTGGAAATGCCACCAACAGGAAACTAACCTTGAACCCACACAAGAAGGACCTTGTGCTGTTTTGTTCATTGCTGTCCAATTACAAGGTGTTCAACTTTTGTCCATGCCTCATGGCTAAAAAAAACATATAAGGATGATTCAGACTGGAAAGCATCCAACCAGAGATCCCAAACCACAGTTGTACCAACAGCCTCCAGCAGCAGATGACAGCCAGAGGCAGACAACTGTCCCAACAACTGCGGAACCAGCAGGTGATGCCACGACACGGGTGGCTTCTCTCCAGATCATGGAGCAAGAGCCCACAGATGCTCCTGCCTCTTCACACTCCCCAACAAACTAAATCTTCTCCTACGATTCCCGCATCTTCCTCCCAATTGCATTGACTACTCCTCACTCCCCAGAACCACATCCAGCCTTCTGCTGGGCCCTCCTGGTTCCCCCAGTCTCACTCTGCCTGCAAGCTCCTAGTGCGATCACCACTCCCTCATTCTCTCGGCTCACCAGGCAGCCAATGAGACAACAGGTGAATTCCTGGGTTTGCACGCACCGCCCCTTCCCTACTCAGTCCTGAAACTGGGAACCCCTTCATAGCGGCCTCGTCTGACCCATAAATAAGGTCCGGACAGGAAACATCCCATACACACCACCAGAGCAGTCCCCTTCTGAAGTGGCACAAACTGTAACTTCAGGTCCCCCAAGCCTGGGACTACAACATGGCCTCGTGAGCTCAGGGAGGTGACTGTTCACGGGAAATCAGCCTAATAGACTTGGCCTGTCTGTGGGACACAGGGAGCCCTTCATGTCCCTGTGGTAAGACACTTTCTATTCTTATGAAACAGGAGCTCAGTGTGGGGGCCAAGCTCCCTTTAGGCATCATCTTCCTTCAACACCCCATGATGTCAACATCACAGGAAATTATTTGGCAAAGTAACCAGGCAAATGGAATTGCGGGTTGAACGTGACTAAAACGCGCAATCAGCGAGAAGACAATAGTCCATGGTTACTTTTCCCCCTCTGGGGACTATGCCCGGTTAACCCATCAAGCCTGTCATAACCAGTACAGGCAATAACCAATAACCTTATGCTCATCATTGTGTATGATGTGGTCATAAAACTTAGAAAGGGCAACCAGCCAGTGGACTGGGTCCTGTCATGTGACCCATGCCGACCTTGAAATGGCTAAATGTGACAAACTTCACAGAGGAGACTCAGAAACATGCATGCTGCCCCAGCTGCTGGTCCTGAGACTTGTGGACCAAGCAGTGGTGGACAGGGAGCCACCTGAAGTGGGACCTGCTGCCCGAAGCCCACCTAGTAAGGTGGTCTGTTCCTCCCACAGCACCCTCGCCTGTGACGACAGATACACTACAAGATTACAAAGGGAGTCAGCAAAGCCAGCCCCAGAACTGGAAGATTCTGTCTCCAACTTAGGACAAGCTGCGGCATCATTAACCCCCGAAGTGTCAGCACTTTGTAAACGACTTCACAAAACATTCTAGCCTCAGACTACTGACTGGCAACCAGGGAGGTGTTTGTGCAGAGTCAGTCCTCAGTGCCACCTGTTTGTAGGTAACACTCGAGAGCAAATTTGTCAAGAGACGCTCACAGCAAAGGCTCACACCCAAGACACAGCTGATACAGCTCATACCCTCCAGACCGACTTGACTCTCCTTTAAATCATTTCCTCCACTCACTGGATGGTTTACGGCGCTCCTTGAGAGACTCACTTTCTTATTTTTTTTTTTTTTTTGATTGACTTTGAAAATGCAAAGCAAGTGTCATTTCTTCTGTGAAGAGCTTCATGTTAGAAAATAGGTTTAACTATACCCTTTTTTTTTTTCATTTAGAGGCAGGGTCTCACTGTATCACTCAGGATTGTCTCAAACTCCTAGGCTCCAGTGATCCTTCTGCCTCGGTCTCCCACAGGGCCAGGATTACAGGCGTGAGCCACCGTGCCTGGCCTCTGGCTTCTTCGCATCCGTCCCAGCGGTCATGCCTCCATCTCCCGATGTATACCACCCTTGCGGGAGGGTTGTGCTCCTCGGCCATCTCTCAGCTCCTCCTGAACACACAGCAGTTGGAAGCAACAGCTGGACCCTCGTCCTCAAGTCCCCTTATGACAGGCAGTGGTTGTCCTATAAGAATACACCTGCTCTCCCTCACGAACAAGACGAGGGGATGAGTGTCACAGAACTCTGGCCTATGACAACTCTGCCCCAACTCGGCACCAAGACAACCAACTCTAGCCCGTGTCCAGCAGCAGCAGGCCACGGCCACAGGGTGACCCCAGCCCCACCGCTAAACTCCCACCTGAAAAACCCAGAGCTGCCAGGAACATGTACTGTTCGTGCCAGCCAACACCTGAGACAGGCCTCTGACCGCTCTTTCTTAGAGCATTGACAAATATGTGTCTCTTGCAATGACACGTGTTTCCCGCACCTAAGACCTCTCCCTTGAACTGCAAGCCTTAGGCAGGACGGGGCCTGTCTCCCAGCCTGTGACGGAGGACAGAATCCTAACTTCCAGAACTGCCAGTCAGTGCCAGAACCCGAGCTTCCATCTGCGCCTCGACCTCCAGATGACTTCCAACCCATGCACTCACCACCAGCTCTAGCCCCAGGTGACCCCATGGCGGGAGCCCCAGGTTCTGCCTCCAGTGTCCAGCTGCCGCGGACACAGCTCACCAAGCCACTCACCCCTCGCCGACCCTCCTCAGCCAGGAAGGGTCACGGCCCACCTCTCTCTCCTGAGCCTCTACGCCTCTGAAAGCCATCATAACTATTGTTTATGTGTTTTTATAGTTACAAGGACTCCAAGGAACATCACCAGGATTTTTCGTGGTAGGAAGGACCCTGCACTCAGATGGATATTTGGGTCCATCTAGTGGAACTTCGAACACTCCGAGACAAAGCATGGCCAACGCTGCACGAGTGGGTGGCTTCTAATTGAAAAGGATAATCACGTCTGTCAAGTGAGTGAGGCTCACTGATGGCCTGGGTCACACCCACAAAATGTGGCTTTAGCGATGGTGTCTTTGGCGAGAAGGACCCACAAAGCAACGATGTTCCCTGAGGTTGCCATACGTTCTGCAGGAAAGATATCATTAACAAAACTTAGAAATACTGTGTCATTTATTATTTCAAAACAGCTCTCAGATACATGAAAGATGGCGTGGAAAGACGTTGCGTATTTAGGTGGCCCCCTTGCAGAAGCTTAAAGTAAGGTATTTTAAAGAAATGGCCGTTGAGATTCTAAGGAAAAGTGCAAGGAGCCAAGTCTGGCAAATTCACGGTCACCACCTTTCCTTCATCTTTCTCCTTCCCAGCCTGGGGATCTGTCAGGTGAATCAGGGCGTTTCCAGCCTCATGAGCCTCCAAGCCCTTCCCTCTCGGGACTGAGAGGACACATGGTAGCAGTGACTCCCACTCACACAGGGCTGGGATGAGACACCACTACTGGTACCCCCACATGAACAGCTCAGGATTCTCTGGAAACTCACTAAAATTCCTTCTGTTTGGACCAGCACATGGTGAAATGGAAAGATGTCCACATCAGGGCTTTTAATCACTAGAATACTAAAACATCCCAATAAGAGGACATGGGGAAGAGCTGTCGATCAGAGAACTGCTACGCTGTGGCAAGCACCATGGGGCTAGCCGCAAACATTCCCGAAGCTACCCCTACCAGAGCGTGCCGCACAGATATCCCCAGCCCTATTTTCCACAGCGGGAGACAGCCCCAGGGTGAAGCAGCAGGTGCAGGTCCCAAGCTGATAAGAACAAAAGCCGGGATGTGAACCGACATTGAGTTTGAGTCAAATGCACTGTCTTTTTCCAGCCCCAAAAACATAATACATACAGAGCTCACAACTAGTCCCATTGCCTTCCGCGGAGCGCCTCAGTGCCTGGCGCTACCAGGGGCATCCCAGGGCAGTGGCCAGCGAGGCTCTAATGCATTCCGCTCCTGCAGCAGCACCTGGCTGGGATGTGCTTTAGCCCGCAAGGGCCTTTGGTAGCAAGAGGTCATGGGGCGAGGAAACAGCTTTTAAGTTTCCCTTCAACGTGCTGCAGCTGCAACTGCTACACACAAAAAAAAAAATCAAAACAAAATTTAAGAGCCTAAAACTAAGCTGTGTGTACGAAGCTCTGCTCTTCGCATCCCCAGGTGAACCGTTCTGCAGACAACGGCACTGGGTTGCTTTTCTTTTCCAAAATCAGGGCTCAAGAGGAAAAAGAAAAGGTAGCACCTGAACAGCTGAAGCAGAGAGAAGATGATCTAGGAAAAAGAAATCAGCTGTCGGGGTGTGAGAGCAGGAGAGCGTGAGGTGAGGAGGAGTAGGAGGGACAGCAAGGACGCTAAGGGGCATCTGTCGGGATAGAAAGTCTTGTTTTTAGGCAGCTACGGCGCAGTTTGATTTTTTCACCCATAATACTGTACTCACTTTATATGTCGGGATATACGATGATATGTTTGCCACTTGGAAGGCACATTTATATCACAATGCACCACCGGTTTGATCTGAAAAAGGAAAAAATAAGCCTGAGAATTCAGTTCAAATTAGCCAACACTTGCTGAATTCAACAGTGTGCACAGCACTGCCCCAAAACATAAGCAAAGGGGGAAATTCCTTTGTCACTAGAACACGCAGGGGCAGGTCCAGGAGGGATGCAGAGAAAGGCAGGTCAGGTGCTGGGAAGGAGACCCGGCAAGTGCGGCGTGAGGTGATCAGGGCTGAGGGCTCTGCACTGCACATGGGGGAGGTGCAGGATGCGGGGGCTGGGCCAGCTGGCAAAGGTGCCACCAAAGGCCGGGCATCCATGCTAGAGAGGCTCCCGTGGTGCCCAAGAAGCATGCATCAATGGCCTACTATGCCCAGGAGGTTTGCTGGCCAAGTTATGGGGCCCCAAGAATGGACATGTCGCTTCTGGTTCCATCCCAAGACTCCCACCAGAATGTCCTAGCCAGCAGGCGGAGCACCTCCGCCTTCTCTCCTGGTTGCTGTGAATGCAGCCTGAGAGGCCGGCCAACCGCTATGCATGGCCACAGCCTGTCTGAGGTCCACCATGGATGAGACAAAAATGGGGAAAAGAACTTCTGAGACCTGTCCTAGGTAAGCAGAGCCCGTCGTCCTCACAGCTGTCCTGTTTAAGAGTGTGCAGAAAAGCAAATGGGGAGGCTCTTATTGGGAAGGGATGTTAGCCGCTCTCCCGTGCCAAGTGCCAAGATCCCGACCCACTCACAAGGCTGAAGCTCACCGAGACACCCAGCACCTCAGGCCTGGCCTTCCTCTGAAGAGCTGCTCCCCTGTCCGCGTCCCATGTCCACATCCCCTGCCCACCAGGATTAGAAGCCTGGGTCCCTTCACACCTCCCACCCCTGGATTCCGCTGGATGGGGACCCAGTCTGCCTCTGCCCACACATCCACCGCAGCCCCACTGCCTGGCTCACACCCCCCAGCTCTCACCTGGATGCTGGTGACATCCACTCAAGGGCTCCTCACCAGGGTCCCACTCTGTCACCTCCCATGGACACCAACGACTTCCCCACAACACCACTGGGCACAGTCTCCCTCCTGACCCAGTCAGCAGCCTCATCACTGCACCCCACACCCTCCATGTTATGCTCCTTCAGCCACCCTGGCCCCCAGCCAGTCCATGTGCTTCCCAGGGCCTCTGCTGCACAGTGAGGGCCTCTGCTCCAGCCCCCACAGCCTCTCCACCTCCAGGGCCCCCCTTCACTGCCTGTCCAAGGACCAGCACTGGGAAGCCACCTCTCAGCCGCAGCAGAATCGATCATGCCTCCTGGCACTCAGCCGAATTCATTCGGCGTCCTTCCTACTGCCTACTCCACACCCACCTGGGAAGCTCCCGGCACAGACACACGGTGGCACGGGCCCTGCCCCATTCCCAGAAGGTCGGGGGGCCTGAACATGTCAACAGGGCCTCCTTCCACGTCTAAGGCTGCTAATCCACGCCCTCCTCTCCAAGCTGCAGCCCCCTCTTCCCTCCCAACCAGACCCAACTTAGCACAGAAGAGGTTCCAGCAGCTCAGCGTCCAGGAGTCCATGCCGATGAGGAGTTCAGGTGGGACAAATGTGTCCCTCCCTCAGTTCCCAGCTCTGCCTTGAGACCCAGCTCTTAAACCTCATCTCTGGCGGGGTCCTGCTGCCTGCCCACTTGCCCACTCCAATGCCAGATCAGCAGCTGAGGGGCTCTGCTCCCCGAATCAGACACAGTGGTAATAACTTTTCCTGCCTGGCCCAGCAAGGAGGGTCCTCCTGGGGCCCTGCTCCTCTGTCTCCTCAACACCCAGACCCCGCCGGGTTCCACAACTCACGCACAAGACCATGAGACGAACCCCTTAACCTATTAATGTTACAGGAGCTGGACTACATCGACCCAAGTTGAATAATGTCACCTATAAAACCTTGGCCAAGAAGAGCACCCAAGCCATGCACCCCAGATGCACAGTGAGTAAGAATGAGCTGCATACCTCATTACAATGAGAGCTGTGTTTTGAAAGAGGAGGGGGGATAGGAGTTACTCTGGGTCTCCTGTCCCTAAAGGAGACCAGGGAGGTGTGTCTCACCGGGGGGCTTGGGAGAAGGGTGAGAGGAACCGAGGCAGCCACAGCTGCCACTGAGAGGCCATTCTGGCACCTCACTGAGATCCTACAATGCCTTCTGTCAGAACAGAGGGCTGCCCGAGAGGCAGCCTGGCAGAGGGGAAGACCCCAGGCTTTGGAAATGGTCAAACCTGGATTCAAATGCCAGCTCTTACTATCCACGTGGTCTGGAGAGGCAGCTATGCCTCTCTGAGCCACAGCTGATTAAGTTTTAGAATGGGGGTCATCATGCCTTACAGAGTTCTTATGAGAATAACATTGAGATGACAATGAGATAACATGTCACAAAAGGCACAATGCAATACCTATAACAGTAATAAATATTCAATCCAATAAATATGAGAATCCCCCCTCCCCGGACACACACACACACACACACAGAAACACAGACAGAGACAGAGAAGGGGGGAGGAGGGCTGTTCAGGCACCTCCAGGTTGATATGACCCAAATAGAATTTCTGATTTTATCTGTAGCCAATGGATCAACCCAGGCTTCCCCACCTCAGAAAATGGAGCCACCCCAGCCTCATTTGTTCAACTCTAAACTCTGGTGGCATTCTTGGGTCTTCTCATCCTTTATGCCATCCGTGCATCGTCAGCTCGACTTCAAAGCCACACCTCTGACCCTTCGCTTCTCACCACCTCCACCACCTCTCCCCTGCCCCACGAGGATCCTTCCCTCGTGGCACGCAAAGCAGCCTTTGTAAACACACATCAGAAGGCGGTGTGATGCCCCTCAGTGAGGCCCGCCCTTGCCCTACCTACCCCCAGGCTGACCCTCAGGCAACTGGCACTGGCTGCCTCTCCACCCTGCCTCCGAACCCCTCCTGGCCTCCCTGCACCCCGGACATGCTTGCGTTCTTGCAGTCCTGAAACACCAGCCTGTTCCCACATAGGACCTGAGCCTGGAACGTCCTCACCGATCTTTGCCTGGTTTGCCCCTCTTACGTTAAGAAGTCACTTCGATGTCAGCTCCTCAGAGAGGCTCCCCCTGCCTCCATCTGAGCACTTCGTACTGCCTCTTCTTTCTTGTTTGCTTATTTGCTTCCATCATCCTTTTGTAGAATGGAAGCTTCCAAGAGCAGGGACCCTGTTGTCATGTTCAACCAAGTACCCCCAGTGCCTGAATGATGAGTGACCCCTAACAGGAATTCATAACTATTTCATGACTACAAATGAATAATGAATGAATGAATGCTACCATGACAAGGGAGGAAGAGCTCTGCTGCTCTGGAAAGGATTCCAGGAAAAGAGGCCGTGGAAGAATGTGGAAACGCACAACTACATCCACTTCACCCTGTTATCATACTATATATAAAATTAAACACACCTGCACACTCATATAAAAAACCAACACCGTGAGTATCAACAGCAAGCACAAATTTACAGAACTCGTTTGAAAACAAAACAACAGAAACCATCCTCTGCAACATTCTATTAAAATACAGCCACTCTAAGAAGCAGCTTTCTGCTTGATTGCATAAAATTACAGAAACAATGAGCTAATTGCCCTTTTGAGGTGTTAATGATTCATTAACCCTGATATCACCTGCCTAATTAAATAACTCCAGCAATTAAATAATGTGATTCTGGACATTTTTTTTCTCTGTACTTCATAAAATAATCTCCTGAGCAATGTCAAGCCCATATGTCTGATGGTGATGACAGCCTCATTCACACTTGTCAGAGCCAAAGACTCACACCACTCATCTGTGCCGAGAGGCTGAAGGACGCTAGGAGCTTTAGACCTCTTCAACCAAGGCAATTCAACCAAATCCAAATCAAAGGTGGAAGACTCAAGCTGACCACAGGTATATCTCCCCAAGGAGCAACCACTGGTTACTGAATACTCACCACGGATCAAGCATTGCAGTAGACTCTTTACCTGCATTCATACCTAACCCTCAACATAACCAGGCAAAATATCTAGGTAACAAAGAATCAGAGAGGTCACATAATCTTCCCAAGAACACAAAGCTATTAAGTGTCCTGGTATGATAAGCCATCAAAAACATTGTATTTTACTTTTTAGCAAAATGAGTACTGGAATCCAAGCCAATGTAGCCTAGTACTCGGGAGCCTGTGCTTTGAATCATCCAGGATTCCAGTACTGGCTCTGCCTCTTACTAGCTGTGTGACCTTGATCAAGTTGTATAACTTCCCCCGAGCCTCAGCTGCCTCCCGCATGCAATGCTAATAGCAACAGTGCATGCCTCATAAAGTTGTTGCCTCCAAAGTGAGTAGCATGAAATGAGATAACGCATTGTCAAGTGCTTAGCAGATGACTGACATGAAGGTTCAGTTGATAACAGTGTATTAGTTTGTTCTCACACTGCTGATGAAGACATACCCAAGACTGGGTAATTTACAAAAGAAAGAGGTTTGATGGACTTACAGTTCCACATAGCTGGGGAGGCCTCACAATCATGGCGGAAGGCAAGGAGGAGCAAGTCACATCTTACGTAGATGGTGACAGGCAAAGAGAGCTTGTGCAGGGCAACTCCCGTTTTTTTTAAAACCATCAGATCTCGTGAGACTCATTCACTAACACGACAACAGCACAGGAAAGACCCGCCCCCATACTTTTTTTTTTTTTTTTTTTTTTTTGAGACAGAGTTTCGCTCTTGTTACCCAGGCTGGAGTGCAATGGCACGATCTCGGCTCACAGCAACCTCCGCCTCCTAGGTTCAGGCAATTCTCCTGCCTCAGCCTCCCGAGTAGCTGGGATTACAGGCACGCGCCACCATGCCCAGCTAATCTTTTGTAGTTTTAGTAGAGACGGGGTTTCACCATGTTGACCAGGATGGTCTCGATCTCTTGACCTCGTGATCCACCCGCCTCGGCCTCCCACAGTGCTGGGATTACAGGCTTGAGCCACCGCGCCCGGCCTCCAC